CCCCCCCCCCCTCTTCTCGGCTAAGACCGCCGCCGCCGGACTTGAAATACGCCTGCTGTCGAGTGGCCGCCGGCTTGACTTCCGCGACGCCTGTTGTCCCCTCTTCCTTCTCTCCGAAGAACTCCACCTCGGCCGCTTGCAACATCTACAATAGGGGGGAGCGACGGGCGGGAAGGAGCGCCGCCCACATTGAGGTCAACTAACGTTGGTCGTGGCGCATGCCACATGGACTCCGCGGTATGGATAGTGTGGGATACCATCGAGCGTGGGTGTGCTACAATGATGTGGCGGGGCCTCAATTAACGCCGGTATGTACCCGGCGCATCGACCGGCGCTATTCAGAGGGACCGGCGCTATTCAATGTACAGAATGACTTCGTGATTCAGTCTGTGCCCAGCAATTTCACCGGCGCTACACAGGGCCACCGGCGCAAATCCACCGGCGTTGTTAACGCCCCCCCACTACTGTATAATAGTTGGATGGCAAACGCGGGAAGTGGGGTTAAGATTGATGGGCGCATCAGTCCGCAGAGGGTCTGGGCCTGTCACAATTCTTATGCACGGAGAGAGAAAGTGACCGTCGTGGGATCTTCCGACACGGCTGTGATCCGCCTGCTGTCCAGCATCGTACACTCCGGTCGCGGGGGTTGGTATCAACACCTTGCTCGTCCTGTTGGGAGGTCACCCCACCAGCTCATGTGTTCTGCGGATGATTGTGCAATGACGATCATTTTTCTGCACAGCTGCGCTCTGTACCCACAGCCATGTGTTTGGACATGTGGCTTAGATTACACGGCGCAACCGCCGCTCCCGTGGGATTGTACAAGCAATCGGACGTCGAGGTTGTATTCATTCCAAAGCTGCAGCAAGAACAATCGCCTGCAGAAAGCTTCAACCACATGGCCCGAATGTCTACTCGTAGATACGACGCGAGGAAAATACCAGCCAAAGGTGGTGTGGGTCCCGATTTAGCGCCCCCTGTTCAGCGGCATCCCCTGTATAGCAACCACAACACCACGTGGCACCGCATCCCGACTACAATAGCCGCTAATACACCAGCAACAGCGACCTGCCCTGATTAACCACCAGATTGCCTTCGAACACAAGGGGTCGCTTCACCGGGCCCACTTGTACTACAGCACACATGGATATGCACATTACGGCTGAATAGCATATGAAGTCGGGCCCGGAGCTGCCCAAATAAGCAGTGAACAGGACGCTCCTGCGTACAGCGGGCGCCCTGGGCAGTTTGTCGCACAGAATGTAACGAGCAGACGTTGCTTTCTGCTTGCCGGGCTTACTGCTGTACGAATAAACAAGAACCCGACTGATCCAATCAAAACGCAACACGCATGGTTGTTTGTTTTGTTTGTTTGTTTTCCTCCCATCATTGGACTCTGTCGTCTGCCCCTTTGGCCCCTATCCTCCAGAAATACCAGCTAGACGACCCAACCGGGGTCATATCGGAGGGGGGGTTGGACCCCCTCCTGCGACATGGTGTGCACAAGCAAATGCCATCTGCCGAAACTTCATCTACCACATTTTTCCAAGTACATTACATACTTGAACAATTTTCTCCGCCCCCGACTCACATCATCCAAGCTCTCTTCTCCTTCCGCCGCGTCCCCGCTCCGGATGACCCTGTCCCCCTGCACCTTGGCCATGCGCTCGGTGCTCCTGGATAGGATCCTCTGTCGCCGCCGCTCCGCCGCCAGGCGGGAGGCCGACTTCCCCGCGTCTTCAGGGGCAGGGAGAGGATGGTCGTCGACGACCGCGCCGACTTCGTCGTCGAGGTCGGCCGTAACGCCTCGTGGGGCGATCTCCTTCTGCTCGGTGGCGAGGTCGACCACCGGAGCGCGGTGCCCGCCCTGGCTTCGGGCCAGCACCTTCTGCCTTCGGGCCTCTCGCTGCTGCTCAACAGCAGTCGCCTCCATTTTGATGGGATCAGCGGTGGGCTGTTCCAGCAGTCCTGATGATGGCGATGGTGGTGATGATGAGACCGGACGCAACAGGAGGGTTAGCACAGGATTGGTGAACCCCCAGGTGTGCGTTTTGACTGCTCGACTACCAGTGGGTGCTCCTAACTAAGTAAACTCCTAGTACAGCACTTGTACGTACACCTATCGCAAGGAGGGCTCGGCGCGGTGTGCTTCGGCAAGCGGTACCCATGTTCGTCCTGTGGAACCCGCAAACACACCTGTTGTTTTACACCTCGCTCGGTTGCGTGTATTGGCTCGAACGAAAGCACCAGCCTGGCTGCAGTCCGATTTTCCTTGCCTTCTCTCACCCGTCCGGAACGCGCACACGTGTAGTCGTGAGGCACAGCAGCAGAGGTTCGTGTCTAGCAGAGCTACGAGCTTCTCTGTTCGGCGGTGTGTCACCGGCCCTAATTTTGCAGACACGGGCCCCTCTACCCCCGCCAAAACTCACACTCTCTCTGTGTACCCCCCCTCCTCAAGCACGTTGAGGCACGACACCACCAAGTACACCAGACCCTACAGCCCAGGACAGACCACGAAGCGGGACGGTAGAGTCAGCGTGGTAGATTTTGGGAGTTGGAGATTCGTTGTGGTAGTCACCGCGGACGCCGTGCTCGCCTGTGGCCGCACTCAGGCAGCCCGGCCCATCAAATTCTTTCCCGGAACTCTCTCCATCTTTTCGGCGGCGAAACCCCACAACACGGCGCACTGCTTCACTCCAGCACCCCGGCACTTCCCTGACCTCTGCCGCTGCTAGCACCACTTCAAGAGCCTAGCGGGAGGTTAAACCACGCGGCGGTTCCACTGGTTTTCAGGCCGGCCTCCTAGCCATATGGGACTGCTGATGTTGTCGCCCTCCTCACGGCGAGGTAGCGGCGGGTTGTCTGCTAGTAGCGTGACACCGCGGACCTTGGCTGTCGCCGTGGGTCTTGTCCTCCTCCTCCTAGCAGCAGGCTTCGACTCAGCGGAGGCCGTCCTCCCCACGGGGGAGCTCCGACTAGCGGACGGGAGCACGGCCTACGCGGCTCCGGCGTGGTTCGGCCTCCAGCTCCCGGAGGAGAAAGAGGCGACGTATCTCCCTCTCCGGGTTCCCAAGAGCGACGCCGACGGGTGCGGGAAGGTGACGGTGGAGGATCCGCCCGAGGGCGGGGGCGGGTTCGTGCTTCTGGTGGAGAGGGGCAACTGCTTCTTCGACGCCAAGGCGCTCGCGGCGCAGGAGGCTGGCGCCGAGGGGCTCGTGGTTATGAACTCGGTGGAAGGCATCTACCAGGTGAGGCAAGGCAAGGTTGGATGTACTGCTGTACGCGGCGGTTGGTACTGCTCGCGAAGAGAGGGCTTTGATTGGATAACACGTGGGAACACATAATGAATGTGAACCTACAGCCTACAGCAGTACTGCACTTACGGACTGAACTTGTTGGTTGTATTCTGCTATCTATGGGTCGAAAATGTGGCGTGCCGTGGGAGGGGGCACCCCCACGGCATTCAGCAACACAGCAGCTGTTGCGGTAGTAGTAGCAGTAGCGGTATTGTAGCGGTAGCGGTGTTCCGTGTGCAGGACCGGAAGGGGCGTGTGCAAAATCTCAAAACCCTTTCGGCTTTGCCTCAAAGTGTTCAGCGAGAGGTGGGCTGCAGCAAGCTGCTGTGTATTTCTATGATGTGGAGATTTGCTGATCTGTGGCGGAGAAGCACGTCCAAATTTGGGCGGGACAGATTTAACTTGGCGTTCGCCGACCAGCTGTCTCTATTTGGCGTGGCGTCTTTTCTTTTTCCAAGAAGTTTTGGCAATTACACCGCTTTCGGGGCACTGAATTCGAACCGACACCCACACCCAGCCGGGTTAGCTGGGGCATATCCACCGCCCATGAGCAGGATAGAAGCAAATACGCGCATCACAGGAAATAAGCAAAAACACGCCCATAGCAGGATAGAAGCAGCAGTCCTCTCTGGTCTCTGCGTGTTTCATCAGCGAGGAGGGAGTAGAGTTTCACGTGCACGTCGAGGCAGCGCCCACGCCCAGGGATCCGTACACGTTTCTCTTTACAGATCGCCTGCACGCCCGTCCTCTCGCCGGATCACTTCAAGTAGTGACATGATGATGATTGCGCTGCATCTGCATTCTTGTTGATATTTACTCCATCTGTCGTTCTTCTGAAATGTGAAGGCACCGACAATCGGTTGTGAAGCAACCATCATCACCATCAATCACCTTCAGACAAATGGCTCGTTCGTAGCGATGAGGGACCCGCATGCTTTTTATCTGCGCGCACGGTTGCTTGTTTGCTGCCGCGATGACGACACGCCTCTACCCTGGTGTTTCCTTTCCTTCGTGTATTCCCGTTCCGTCAATTCTCTTGGTATTGCTCGCGGGTTTCCGCCGTAATTACCTATTACCCCGGAGTTTTCGCCAATGCCCTAGTTATCGTCTACCCCCTCTGAGTATCGTCAACGACCAACCGCCTACGTAATTTTCGTGAACGCAGGACAATAGCGCGGCGACCGACAAGTATGACTACGAATGCGACAACGGTGAGGGTTGGGTCAAAGACCTTCAGACCCCGGTATGGGACCCGCTCAACACCGACGAGGCGTGCTGGTCCAACGACGCCTGTGACTCGGGAGTGTGCGTCGTAACCAACGTCACCGACGCAACCTTGGGAACAAAGGTGACTGACCGACTCGGTCGTGACCGGAGAGAAAGGCAGTGCCAGTCGGCAGAGTTCGTTGACTAGTAGTACTACAAAGTGTTGAGTGTTGTATGCGTTTCTGTGTGATGAAAGCGGTTCGTTTTGCGGAGAGAGCACCACCGCCGCCTGCTCTGTGTGATTCTTGTCGCCTTTTCACGACGGAGCCCCACGATATTTTTTGTACCTTTCGATGTCCTGCTCCGCGTGCCCTTCGCCATCACCCCCACTCGTGGATACCTTTTCATGTCCTACCCCGCGTGCCCTTCACTCCGCGTGCCCTTCGCCATCACCCCCATTCGGTGATACCTTTTTTATGCCGTACTCCGGGTGCTCTTCTCACGTCACACCCTCATTTATGCCTTTGTATGTCCTACTCTGTGTGCCCTTCACTCCGCGTGGCCGTCGCCAACACATAGTCTATGCATTTTTGTGCCCTAACCTAACCCTCGTGCCCTTGGCACCCTTCACCCTTCGTATGCATATGCATCACATGGTGTTACTGCTGTACGCTAGGTTTGCTGCGCTTGGGATATGTACATCACGATGTACAGCTCGGATCCGGAGACGTCGGACAAGGTTGACATCCCGTCCGTGTACGTGACGATGAAGGATGGACAGGCTCTGCTGGAGGCTGGCGAGGTCGATGTCGAGGTGACTTACTTAGAAGTACCTGGGTTAGGGTTAGGGTTAGAATGACTGGCTCTTGTGTGTGGTGGCTTTTGTTAGCTGTGTGTGGCGGAAATGGTGATGTTGATGGCGGGATGTTGGTGTATGGTGATTTTGATGATGGTGTGGTGATGTGGATGATGGTATGGTGATGCTGGTGATGGATTGGTGATCCTGATGTTGATGGTGGTAATGGGGTGGTTCTGATGATGGTATGGTGATGTTGATGATGGTGATGTGGTGATTGAGATGATGGTATGGTGACGTTGATGATGAAACCCTTCTTTTTTTTTTTTCCGTGCGTTCGCGATCCCCCTCCTCCGCACAGATCTTCAACCGCCCTCGCAGCTACATCAACCTGAGCTCTTTCCTCCTGTGGGGCTTGGGCGTGGCAACCGTGGTGTGGGCAAGCGTGAAGAGCGGCGATGATCTCCGGAGACGCTCCAACAGCAAGTCGGGGGACGGGTCGGCAGGGGTGGTTAACTACTGGGGTGCCTCGCACGAAGAATCGCCGGTACGTACGTGCCTGTGGCAGATATTCCACAGGGGGCTTCATGCTGACATTGAAATCCCCGATGTTGACATTTTGATGGGGGCGGGAAGGGGCGCTCTCATGTTTGCATGCCTTTGGTTGTTAGACCATTGACTACAATTACTTGTGGGGGGAGAGTGCAACGTTCCGGTTAGGTTAGCATAAGAGGGGTGAGGAAGGAGAAGAGCTCTATTTTGGGTAGTATTTACTGTAGTGTCTGTCGACATGAAGAGCACTGTTTTCGTTTTGGCCCACCCTTGGCCTATTTCAGCTGCGATAGTAGCCTCTCCTCTCCTCCACCGAGAAGCGGTGCGCTGCGGGAGGGATGCTTATGGATGCTTGTCGTTATGATGACGGGTAGGTCAGTTCGGGTCATGTTTGCACAGCCGCGGATGAGCGGCTCTTCAACCTGCCCGAAACCGATCATACACAAGTCCAAAGCTCGAGCGCGTTCGGCCTACCCCCAACACCATCATATGACCCACGAACCCCCACCCGTGACTGGTCCACACCGCGGTGCCCCCATCCTCCGACGTAATATTGCCTCTCTTTTGTCTGTTGCGACGGGTTGAATAGTCCTTGGAGCTAGGAGTTCGACACACTTTGGCGTTCGTGGTGTTTGCCTCGGGGATGCTGCTGCTGCTCTTCTTTTTTAACCTGGGGCTGGCGGTGACCCTCATGTTCTGCCTGTCGGCCTCAACGGCCACGTCTGCGATCGTGGTGCTGCCCCTGATGCGATGGGCCCGCGCAACGCTTGTCGACTACGGGTTTATCTGGAGCGGTGAGTTGTGAAGGTTGGTGGGACGCCGAACCTCGCATGTGTATGGCGTGACAGAGAAGCGACCCCCCCCCCCCCCCCCCCCGAAGTAAGTTCATAGTCGATAGTCGCAAAGTGATCGCTGGGTCGTGGCGCATGGTGAACAGCAGCGCAGTCGAGAGTGGTCCATGGGCTGTTGGATCCTCTCTGGGGCTTCTTTTCCGTTGTCGTTGGCTGTGTGCTACTGCTACCCGTTTGGTAGTGATGGTGCTACTGCTGCCCGTCAGGTTGACGATACTGTACCCCCCTGCTCAACGTTTCGTATTTTCTGTTGGTTGCCCATGACTGCGGTTGGTTGTTGTTGTTGTTGTTGTTGTTGGTGGTGGTGGCGGTGATGATGCCGTTGCAGGGTGCAAGCTGTTGTCTATTTTGTCGCCGTGTCTGCTGCTGACCGATACATGTAAACACCGCAGCCGATTACGACATCACCGCTGTAGGATCCCACCGAACGTGCTGTGCTCTCTCTCTTTCCCGCTGACTTTATTTTGTCTCATTACCAGACGGCGACGGTGGCACTGTCGACTGCTACTGCTTGGGCGTCTTGTCCGGACTGGAGATTGCTTCCACCATCACATCCATGGGTCTAGCGCTGTGGTGGCTAATCGTCCGAAACACCACAAGTTATGCATGGGTGCTCCAGGCGAGTCTCGGCTTTAGCGAGCACTATTGGGATCGGGTGAAGGGGTGTACTCCCGTTACCTCATATCGTTGTCATTGACCTCGCATCCCTACAATGCCGGGACCGATGGGTGTGCCGGCTCCAGGCTACGTTTGACAAGGATGAATGAGCCAGAAGCTGGGGATGGTTGACGCATGATGAATTTCTTAGCTCTCAGCGTGTGTGGCGTTGTTGGAGGGAAGTTGACGCGTTTCTCGTGGTGGGTGGTCCATTCGTGTCGTCCTCAGAATCGTCGTGTCTTCGTTTGTGCCCTCTGCGATTTTCTTGGTGATCGCCAAGGCCATGAAAGGATGTGCTGTTGCCGATGCACGACCGCCAGCCTGTGACCAACACAGCGTGTTGCGTCCCGATGCTTGTTCGTTCGTCCCGATACCCCCCATGCCGATGCTGTTCCTCTGCTTTGTGATTGTGTTGTTGTATTTGTTGCAGAACCTGTTCGGGTGCTGCCTTTGCGCCACCTTCCTGTCCACGATCCGCCTTTCAAGCATCAAGGTACTGCAGCATGGGAAAGTTTTTGACATTGATCATTGCTCTTCTTTGGTTCAGAACACGGGGTCGATCCCTTAATCAGTCCGGTTCTTTTGACCCCAGAGACGCGATCCGTCTTCCAAGCATCAATTTAAAGATTTTCTAAAGTTGACATTGATTGCTGCTGCCTTATATTGTTCAAAACACGGGGTCGACCTCTTATCTGTCCAGTTCTTCCTGACCCCAAAGGTGCTGAGTCACCCGGCTCTATCAGCCATCTGATCAAAAGGCTGTCGCTACAACAGCACTCCATCGAAAGAAGTGCTGCTGTAGTCTAGGCTTGAGGGTTCAATAATGGATACATACATGGGATTTGTGATTCAGACCATGCTGGAGGCTTAGTCGAGAATGCCGTGGGTCCTACATTGCATCCTACCATGATTTCTCTTGTCTATGCATACCTCGGGACAGATGCACCCTCCGACGTACACACACTGCGGGGGTGAGCCATGAGCACCGGACATCCTTATCCTTGACACCCCCCCCTCGCCTCTCTACCTTCTCGAACAGGTGGCCACCTTCCTGCTTTGCCTAGCATTCTTGTACGACATATTCTGGGTGTTTCTGTCCCCCCAGCTGTTCGGCGAGAGCGTGATGGTCAAGGTGGCCACCGGGGGGGAGATTACCCAAGACCCCACGTTCTGCGAGAAGTATCCTACTTCCGACGGGTGCCAGGTGGGTGCCTGTTGAGATGACCCTACCATACCGTCTCTCTTTGTAGCGTTGAAATTGACTTGGTTTTAGCGTTGGTGACCAGAAGAGTAGCATCTAGCGATCTTACGCGCAACGGTGGTGATCTATTGTCAGGCATCGTGCACATCTTTGTTTTTGTGCCGTTGTGTTAGACCAATACGGATATTGAGCGGAGACCGGAAGGACTTTTTTTGTGAAAACACCACGACAAAGCCAACAACAACAACCATCTGTGTCTACATGTGCTTGAATGCATCGTGTGCATGCATGTCGCATACGGTGCGTCCTGCGGTTTTGCGCTTGTTTCCCCCCTCCCCCTCCCTCTCGTTTTGTCCTCTCAGTGTATCGATTGCGCTTTACTCGCAACATTTCTTGCGCCCGAACAGCGCAGTTGTCAGATGAAGCGAGGACACGTATCATCGTGAGTCCATCTATTGACAACCTTGGTTGACCTGAAAGTAGGTGCTATTTTCTTTGTTATTTTGATTTTGGTTATTCCAGGCGGAAAGCCTCCCCACGTTGGTGAAGCTCCCCCGCTTGTGTGACTGTCAATGACCGCGGTTGAGCTGCAAGGATTTGTATCAGCCTTTTTTGTTTTTTGTTTGTTGTTCCAGGTGGAAAGCCTCCCGATGTTGCTGGAACTCCCCCGGCTGTGGGACTACACGGGAGGTTACGCGATGCTTGGCCTGGGTGACATCGTCATCCCTGGCCTGCTGCTGTCCTTCGCCCACCGCTACGACCTTTCTGTAAGACAAGACAAGAGATTCATTATAGTCTCAGTGCCGTAGGTGAACTGACGTAAGATACCACACAACCTGGACCGGTTTCCTTGAATACCGTGGGTTTCCTGCACCATAATGGTATTACCAGACCGGAAGGGTATTACCGTAGGTGACATGACGTAAGATACCACACAACCTGGACCGATTTCCTTTGTTACCGTGGGTTTCCTGCACCATAATGGTATTACCATACCATCCATAATGGTATTACCGTAGGTGACATGACGTAAGATACCACACACCCTGGGGCGATTTTCAAAACCCGAACACTCTACTCTGCAGCACACACAAACAACGACCGTGCCGAAATCGGCTTCGTTGGAATGGTCTCGTCCAGAGCTTCCCGGAAACGTGCCATTGATGTCGGCATCCTCGTCGTCGCGGAGCAATCGAGATTTGGAAAATCGGTCCGGGGGGTGTGATGTCTCATGCGACCTACCGTACAATCTGTTGCCGAGTTGTTGTTGGGAATGTTGGTGCTGGTTTTTGGCCATGAGCATGGCTTTCAACAACGCCTCCTCCGCTCTTTTCTTTACATGGGCAGTTCTCGCGGTACACAGCAGTAGTGTTCCCCTGCCGTTCAACAGCCCTATCCGGCATTCTCTGCACAACACACACACCCCTCCCGGCGCCATCATGTCAATGGCTTAACATCCGTGTATGTTTTGTGTTTGGCGCTTTGGTGGTTGCAGGTGGGACTTCACTGGGGCAAGGGATACTTTGTCTTTATGGTTGCCGGCTACGCGGTGGGGCTGCTGATGGCCAACATGGCCGTCTATGTAATGTCAATGGGACAGGTAAGTAGAAAAGATAATTGTTTCAAAACAAAATACTATAATACGACGACGACGTAGAAACGGGACCGTTGCCGTCCCCACATTTTTTTTGTTTTGGGTGCAAAACAAGCTGCCGGAAAAGCTAGCTGTCAACAACTCCGCGCCGTCCCTCACGAGCCAACCGTATCTACCCCCCCCCCCCCCCCCCCCCCCCCCCCCCCCCCCCCCCCCCCCCCCCCCCC